CATTTCAACACCTAAAGCAGCATGATGCCCCTTCTCCATTTACCACTGATTGCTTTGCAAATAGGGCACTTATGAAGTTGTTTTACCCCACTCAAAGGCAGAGCATCCTGCTACAGAGGCTCAGAGGTGAATGGTCTGTTCTGCCATGCCTGCAGTGAGAGAACTAGAGGGAACGACCATAAGCTGAGACAGGGGAGATTCAGATTAGATGTTAGGAAAAATGTTTTCACTGTTAGGTGGTCAGGCACTGGAATAGGTTGCCCAGGGAGGTGATAGATCACCATCCCTGGAAGTGTTTAAGAAGCATCTAGATCTGATGCTGGAAGATATGGTTTGGGGATTTTCATATAGAGTGGCAGGTTAATGGTTGGACTTGGTGATCTTAGAGGTCTCCTCTAAGCTTGATGGTTCTATGATTCTATGGTTCTATTGTTTACAGGAAAACCTTTAGCTATATCAAAACAAAACAAAGTAACACAAAAGACACTCAACCTACCTCCCCCCTATGTTCATGAACTTGGCACTGAGACAAGGCTGAGATCTGAAAACTGAACAGGAGCTGTGTTAGTTTTTGTATTATTATTATTTTTTGGAGTCAGTTTTGATAAAATGTTTTGGTTATTCCTGAATGTAAAAAGGAACTTTTTCTTCCCAAACTTCTAATAAAACTGTCAGAGCTTGGAAAGAAAAAATATGGATGACATGGTTTCATCATCTTAAAACTGGTCTTGTGTCAAGGAGAAAAGCCACACCAGAAATTCTCTGCCACTTCCAAGTGATGGGAGGTGTGAGTCCTCCTGCCATAGTTTGGAAGAACCAAGCATGGAACGATAACTGATAATTTTGGGTGTTTCCATGGTGTGAATCTCCCATACCCACCTTCATCTGAACTTTGTTGGTTTCAGCAGCTTTTAACTTTTTGTGATTATTGCTTTAGTATCCCATCCTCCAGGATTTCTGTATGGATGTAGCATTTTCTGCAGCATCTCTGCCCAGAGCGGGATGATGTTCCAAGCCCACAGGCAACACGTGCACACTCAACGCTAGAGAAATCCTGGATGTGGCCCTTTATTGAGCTATTTTGCCAGGGCTTGATGTATGTGAGGGTTGAGGCAGGTGGTGGGAAGCCTCACAGCCTCTTGTGCTGGCTGGTATGTTGGGAAGCAACTGGGATGATGCTTTTATGGAGGACAAAAGATACACTGGTCAAGTCAGGTCATCCCCTCAGGAAAATTCCTGAGGGTATAAAAAATATGGGAAAAAATTAATTTTCCAGTGGGAATGGGATATTGAATAATGTTGTGCTTGGGCATCACCGGTGATGAACCATCTGCATCAAATTTCTGAACAATGTTACCCCAAAACTTTGGGGCATCAAGTTATTGCCTTGATTTCTCCCCTCTGTGCAGAACTGTGCTCTGCTGCAGATGGCTGTTCTCTGTAGACCCAACTATGAGTGATCAATACAACTAATTCCCTAAAATCCTGAGGGCAGACTTGCTTTATTTTCAGCTACCTTCAGGGGGGAGACTGCTGGAGCTGTGAGGCAGGCAAGCCATGGGAAATCCTAATACCTTAGTGAGAGCAGCAAATGGATGGATGCTTGTTGGGGTCCTTACAAGGGACAGACTACAGCACACCATTATGATGCTCTGATAGCCAACTTTATTTAGGGCACCTAACAGTATTTATAGTAAAATGTCTCCCGTACATGCAGCTACGCGCTGATCATATAACTTTGGATTAGTTGCTCAACATGTCAATGCGTACAATTCTTACTTATGATAGGCTACAAGTTTAAGCTGCATCCCGCTCTCACATCCTGGGAAACTGATAACAAGAGCTACACAGTGTTTATGAGAATCTAAACAACAGCACTATTCTCAGCTTGTTAGCAAGACGACTTATCTATAAGGCAGTAAAACTAAAACCAAACCTAAAAACCCTGGCAGCAGGGGAGAACAAGACCATTATAAAGTGTTGGATTGAAGAACACAGGAATGCATGAAGATAGAAACAAGGTCAGCGCGACCTATTTTGTGTGTCTTGTTTTTAATTGCTTAAGCATTCCTTTAACTGTTGCTCAGGTTAAAGCTCCTCTGCTTGCCAGGTTCCAACAGATGCTTAATAACAAAATAATAGTGTGGATGTTTATAGCATTAAACATTATCATTGTTTGCTGGAATATGGGAATGCTCCCAGTTTGCTGGGAGGTTTCCAGGCATTTAGAAAGGGATGTGTTTGCTCCAAGGAGCTCATAAAAAACTATGCTTTTGACTTAAACAAGAATCCCAAAGCATTTCAAAGCCATTTGTGGGCTGTCACACATGAGGATGTGTTGAGGGTGATGTGGCTGCAAATTTCCTGGGATCTGGGTTTTTTATGTGAATTTGCAGGAGGTGGAGATGGGAGTTGAATGGTGGGTGCCTGCCATGACCCCAGGTTGCATGGGATGAACCCAGTGGGGTGTTTTGAGGCAAAAATCCATCTACTTGCTTCATTTGCCCAGAGCCATGATCATTGCCACCAAAAAGAAACCCTCTGGGGAAAAAAAAATGTCCATCACTGTAGGAAGCATCTCTGCATCATTTTTCCCCCCCTCTCCTGCCTCTGCCACCTGACGGATGCCACTGGCCTTTCCCTCCCCTTTTCTCAGTGGATGCCAGAATCAGGGAGGCAGGTGGGAGCGGGGGGGCTCCACCAGAGTCCCAACAACCATGAAAAGCAGCTTTGGTGGTGTCTGGCAGGGAGGCCTGAGCATGACTTTTTGACTAGACATCCAGTCAATAGCCAAAGCCCGCAAACGGAAGAGGCTCTGGCATATTTATACTGTGATGGTATTGTCTCCTTAAAAAAAATATATCTCGGATTACCTAAGACTTGTCCTTGAGGTCTGGTCACCCCATGTCATTGAAAAACCTAGTGGGATTCATTCATGAACTTCCAGCCCTCCATAAAGGTCTGTTCATTCATTGTCGAGGCAGCTCGTTTTTTTGTTTTGGTTTGGTTTTTAATGCTCTAGCAATTAAATAACTGTAAGTAGCAATGAACTACTTGTTAAGTGGTCTTCACTAATGCAAGCACAAATATCAGGTGAAAAAGGCACTTTTTTTCCCCCCGACACCTCCTGAAAGGGATGGTTTTATGTCCAAATAAATAAAACCCTATAGGATTTTCAGTGTTCAATGCCTATTGCTATAAAATTCCCTCAACTGCTGTAAAACAAAACCCAAGAAGCTCTGAGCATTGCTGGCAGGCATTTGGTGGGAGGGGGGCAATGGGTGGTTGAGATGGGAATGGATGCAGGAGCATCCTCCTCTTGTACCCAGGAGCATCCTCCCACCATGGATTGAGAAGCATCCCCCAAATTCCTCTGTCTCCCAGATGGATGGTGAAAACACCATCCTAGGGGTGTTTCTTGCCCTACTGGCTGCACCCTGGGGGGGCATCCCA